AGGAGGAAGAGGTGAGAAAGCATAGTCTATTTTGTTTTGATTTGTTGCTGATTAATGTTAAAAACCAAATGTTTAAATCTCATGAGCAGAGATTGTCTTTCATGGTGAAAGATTTTGTCCAACAGAGCCAATAATGGCTCAAACACATCGGGTGTCTGTTCCCACTTTCCAGCTGACTGGAACATAAACAAGATGCAGCCCCTGCTGGTGTTGAGCACTTTATGCCTTCTGTCTGAGTTGTTCTTGATCCAACACACCTCAGTCACATGATGGGTCCCCTCAATCATATCCGAGTTCTGCTAATGGCTTCTATGGACCAGGGGTGAAGTTGGAGAACTGGAGGCTGGTGACGGACCTGTCTGCTTTACATCTGGCAGGTCTGAAACGCTGCATCCCAAATTCTTTCTGACGCCAGGCTCTGATGTTTGTCTTTTAGGTGGAGGCTTTAGGTCCCCAGACGGTGGAGGATTTCGAGGCAGAGGTGGCGGGAGAGGCACCCCAAGAGGAAGAGGAGGCAGAGGAGGAAGGGGCGGTGGCAGAGGAGGTTTAGGAGGAGGGAAAAGAGTTCTGATCGAGCCTCACAGACATGAAGGTTATTATCAAACATTAGTCAAGCAGATTTTTAGCAGTAAAAGTTTTTTTTTTTAATAAAGGTTTTGTTGGCTCTAGTGGCCTTTATTTGAAAATAGTTTGACAGGAAAGAGAGTTATGAGAGAGAAGGGGGGGGGGAAGACATGCGGCAAATGTCACCAGGCTGGGAATCGAACCTGCAACCATCGGCATGAGGACTAAGACCTCAATACGTGGGTTGTGCTTCGCCCCTGCGCCACTGTAGCACCCAGCAGTAAAAGTTTTTAATATACTGTCTGATATGCTAAGCATGAAGTCACATGTTGCTGTGAGTCCCCACATTTTAATTTTAATCAGGAGTGTGCCGATAAATCGGCCCGATTTCCTCGCTTGTGTCCTTGACGTCTGCAGGTGCTCGTTAACACTCTTGTCAACTTAGCAACTTTGTTACTATATTGTGACTTTTCAGATTGTCTCTGGGGAACTCCAATCGCTGCAGCCCTGGTGTGAATCAGTTTAGCTTCCATTCTTAAAATTTGACTGAACATGGGAAGTAGAGTAGAAATAAAAACAAAATGCCGTTGCATATTTAGAATGTTTCAGTGTCTGAACTTTCAAATTTGAATAGCCATCAGTAAATTGGTGTGTGTGTGTGTGTGTGTGTGTTAGGAGTGTTTATCTGCAGAGGGAAGGAGGACGCCTTGGTCACCAAGAACTTGGTGGTGGGAGAATCTGTGTACGGAGAGAAGAGAATGAGTGTGGAGGTAAAGTGTCGCTTCAGTGGCTGATTTGTTTGCTGATCAGTATATATTGTCCCAATAACTAGGTGTGTTTTTTGTCAGGATGGAGAGACCAAGATTGAGTACAGAGCCTGGAATCCTTTCCGCTCAAAGCTGGCAGCAGCTATACTAGGAGGAATTGACAAGATCCACATCAAACCTGGAGCTAAGGTCATGTACCTGGGGGCCGCCTCTGGGACCACCGTGTCCCACGTCTCAGACATTGTTGGACCGGTGAGTATGGCTCTCCAGTTTTATTTCTCCTTTCAAGCATCATCTGAGGGCAGATGATGTGCATTTGGTTAGGACCCTTTAATGCTCTTAACATGCTGGGCTTTAACATGCCTCATATGGCTCCATGGTGATTTCTTGTTTTTTTCAAGAGCTGCTTCTCTGTTTGCCTGATGGGTTCAACCATAAGCCAGGACACATACAGGACAAATCTGTCTCTGTCTGAAGACACTTTCTGGACTACACTAAGGCTTCTTGTTTCTGACTTGGGATTTAAGCAGAGTGATGCGGCCTTGGGAACGTTTTAAGTTTACCCTTAAATAGACTTCCTCTTAGTTGCCAGCTAGATGTTCTGTTCCAGTATTCCACCTTTCATGAAGCTGATTTTGATTTGTTGCTTCTTGCATAGCTCTAAATTGCTGTTCCTGATTTTTAATAACAATTTTATTTTCTATCAGAAAATGTTGTTTGATTGGCTATTAAAGCCAGTCACCCATAGATTGATTAGTGCATCTCTAGTTTTCATCAAGTACTTCATTTAGCTGTGTTAAGGGTTTAAATCTTCCCCAATTGCTCCGGTCTGCCCATTGTCTATGTAATGTGGCTGTTCCACGTTATGAAGCTTATAGAAAATTGCCTGCACTGTAAACAACCATTCTCTACTGTAGAGAGAGAAATGCTGAGCCAAACGAGGCGGCGAATAGTAGTGATGGGCAGATGAGGCCTCATTGGGTGTGTGGCACATTTTCCAAACTGTGCTAAGACTGTGTTGCTTTGTCACTTACAGTGACATCTGCTGGATTTAGAAAGTTATTGCAGGCAAATTCAGTAAAGACGGGAGTGTTAACCCGTTCCTCCTCCTCTTGCCGGGCACAATGATGCCTCAGCATTATGGAAGTGCTCCAGTTACAGTAAGACAAAACTTGGGAGCAAATCCTACATTTTTCACCTTCAATGTAAATAAAAGTTAATCCATGTAAACTAACTCAGCTATCCCTTGGAAAGGAATTTGAATAATCCGAAAGAGAAATGATCAAAAGTGGAAATGAGGACGTAATAATTACTTTCTGTGATAAGATCAAAATGATCAAACTTGGGAGAAAACTTCCTCTTCCTCTGTTGATTCATGCCAGTATTCAAATACGAGCCAAAAACCAACGCAAAGCAAAGAACACAAAGTATCTCCATTCAACAAAACCCACAAACATGTAAACAGTTTCTTTCTCATCAACACAATTTGGTTGCGGTCACATCCAAACAACACCGGAGCTGGATCGGTCACGTGGTTTTCCTTTAAGTGATACACGCACCGACATGGGGTTTCATCTTGTTTGCTCGGCGCATGTGCCAAGGTTTCTGTGTCGTCTGGCCAATCGCTAGCGGATAGTGTTAATTTAACCCTCTTACAACCAACCTGTCAGCGCCGACAGGATTCGGCTTGTGTACTTCCCATTACCGTAATTTCTGAACAGTTCAATATATCAAAAAAAATTCCAAAAGTGCAGAAAAGCTGAGACATTGCGCTTTCAGGGCATATATGATACATTACGGTAGCCACCCTGGAAAGTTTGATGTGAGCTTGACCAATCACAAGAAAGATTCTCAGTTGTGTCATATTTGTCACCCAACCTACTCTGTATCGTAACTCCTGAACGGTTGGCCGCATTCAAAAAATTCCAAAAGTATTAGAAAGTGCATAAAATAAGCTTTCGCGCATCGCCGCCAGCTTTGTTATTGGTCTGAGCGCTGCCGGCTTTAAATGCATAAACTATAAACCTATAATAAACATATCTTTTAGGAATAAATCTGCTCTGCTAGTGAAAATGCTCAGAGCAACAGAGACGCTTGCAATCCGGCTTGAAAAAAAAAAAAAAATTAGCGATTTTCTTTTTTTTTTTTTTCTTCTTTCTTTTTCTTTTAATTATAAATTATTTTCCAAAAAACATAAACAAGCAACCCTTACCATGGAGGGGGGGGGGTAGTAAAGCATGGTGGGCCGCCAGGCTTATAATACACTGGGGGAAACCCTGCAAAACCAATATGGAACAATATCGATATAATTGAGCAGGAGTGTCTGTATTTGGCTTACACAAACCAGGCAGGTCCAGAAGCAAAGAATAACACTAAATATCCCCATAAATGAATATGGTTTCTATCTCTGTACATGATGCTCAACAGAAGGCTTTTGGATATGCATACAGAAAAACAGTTACTGTTTAACAGAAGAGTAAAGCCTTCATTTAAGTAAATATAACACTTTTTGTTTGGTCACAGGAGGGGCTGG